AAACTGTTGACTCTCATATTGTTGGTCAAGAAGTTGTAGAACCAGGCATCATCCATGGCTGCCAATAAGTCATGTCAATCATTCTCCATTTGTTGATCGAGGAAGTGCATAAAAAAGGGCTGCTTGATTTTAGTTGGGTGAGCTTGAGGTTCATGATCAAATTTGGGTCCGAACCCAATCCCAAGAAAGCTGCTGAGATAACCTTTCTTCTGTTGGTGATGATCACTAAGCTGCTAGCACCATAAATTGGTTAAGGAAGATGAGGAGAATGGTGATGAAGGAACAAAACCAAGTGTCTGCTACAGCAGGTGTTGAGTCAATAGTGGAAATGATATGAGATATTGTTGTGGAGTACTTAGTATTTTGGTTATCAATTATGAACTTATGGTATTAGTTTTAGAACTTCTTGTTTATAGATTTTAGATGAAATTTTATAGGTAGCTATACATGATACCTATACAATAGCATCTTTCAAAATCGTGTATTTATTTTATTAGTGGATGATATATAATCCTTCATGATCATCTTAAAAGAGGTTAAAAGAGAAGTAAGTGGGGGTAGTCATGTTTTTCCATCTTCTGCTGATAAGGATATTGATCATGTTGGTACACTTGGAGGTAGTCACAAGAAGGTGAGGGTAAGAAAGATGAAACCTTCTGGGAGCTTTTCCAACCTATTTTATGTCAAGTCTCGTGTGTGGGTAAGTTTAAACTTTTCACACAATGTCATTGCTGTGTTTTCTTGGGGTTATGATTAGAGATTTTCTCAATGCTTGAAATTGTACTTCACTATAGGCTTATTAAAACTTGTGTTACATTGTATATATTGTGTAGCTTTGTGGTAGCAATTTCTATCTGGGCTCATGTGGTTTTGAAGGCCAAACTTCACTGGTTGGCTATGGACCAGATCCTGCAGTGAAGGGTCCATAATGGGGAGGAGAATAGGATTCTAAGAATAAGGGATTTTACTTAACTAGGATTATTAATGTTTAGTGGAGGAAGCCATAAATAGAACTTTTTCTTTTTTGGCTCATATTGTTGGATCTAGTTTAGTATATCCAAGATGTTTGTGCTATCAGCAATATGTACTATTTCTAATAATAATGCTGCAAAGTTTTCTCAATTCTAGCGCTAGTGATTTTTCTTAATAGGGACAAATATAAAGTAGTTGATTTTTGTCTCATAAAACTGGGTTTTTCTGTTATTTATTTTTTTGGTGTGTGTAAGATCTGTTATTTAAGTGAAAATGATCCCTTAATCTTGCACTACTTTTGATTTTGCAGACAACAATCTGGGAGGGCTTGAAGCAGGTTGTTCCATGGAGGACTAAAAAACTGAAGAAACATGGGTGTGGGGGCCCTTAAGCTCTAGGACTTTTCCTTGGATACCATTGTCAAGTCAAAATCAATTATTTGTGAATTCAGCCACTGCATATGTACTATTTCCCACCACCTTTTTGTCTTTTTCTTCTATCACATAGGTGGCATTCTGAACCTGTTTCTTCTGTTGCTATACCACTGTCCATTGCTCAAAACTTTTCTTTTATTATCATGGGACAAGATGTACAAGTTTTCAAACCTTCATTATATGCTATCTTGGTGTATTCTGATATTTGTATGCTGATATTTGAAAATTGTTAATAAATTGACCTCTCTTCTATTATGCTTTGTCCTTAAATTCCTAGGTTATTTTCTCTTTAAATACTTATTGAAACTGTACTCTTTGCTGATCATGTCCACAGATGTAAAATTTATAGGACAGGTCATCTGAATTGACACAAGCAGCATGCACTATGAGAAATCGTCAATATAAAACAGATGTAATTGACACAAGCAGCATGCACCATGACTTGGGATGTTGGATTATTCATTCAGTACTATCAGTTAGTGATGAGAGCAGCACCAGTAGTTTGAGCAGTGCTATGTATAAACCCCATAAGGCAAATGATATAAGATGGGAAGCAATTGATATAAGATGGCAAATCAGCTGGAATTCCAAGAGTGGAGCAATTTGATTCAGCGAGGAATAAATAGGTCCTTATTGAGCAACGGGCTATTTGTAATTTTTTGGTTTAGTATGCTGTAATCAGTCACCACCTATTTTTTGGGACAACAAATATATGGCATTGGTGATTTTGCTGAGTTTTAGGCTTAAATCACTTACTGATGTTGTGCACTTCTGTAACAGATTTTTATGCTCCTACTTTTGGGATGTAACTTGTTATGATATTGCCCTCATATAGTTTCCTAATTTGTAATTGTCATCAGTTGTTATACAATATTTAATAAATTTCAATCTGTGTATAATCTCATTGTGGTGATGTTGGTTATAATCGAAAACTGAAAGTAAGTGTGCCAGCAGGTTAATATATATGATACTTCTTTTGGACCCCATTGAACAAAAGGTTCAGCATTACTGATCCCATATCCACTTGTCCATGTTACAGTCATCTGTTTTAAGTTCAAAATGGTACTGTTTTGATTTGATAAAATGAAAGAAGAATTGAAAGAACAAATGTAAATGGAACACAAATAATATAAAAAATTATGTCAAAAATATAATAGCAGCATGCTGAATGCTTTCTTTCTTCGTATACCATTTCCTCATGTAGGCAAATTCAATTTTTTTGACACTGCCACCAGCTTTGGCTATCATGCCGTATATAGATACAAAGAAGAGATTGCAATCATGATAGATGTTATAAAAAAATACTCAGAGGGCCATAACAGCATTACTGAATTTATAGAAATGGGAATTCTGATCCAATTTACTGCTAAGAGGATTATTACATAAGTATACAAAAATCCAAAATAAAAGTATGCCACCGATAATATTAACATTGAAAGATTGCAATCTGGTGACAGTGTGTGTGTATTTGGTTCTTGTTATATGCCTCTGCAGTAAAATGTGGTTCAGCTCATGGACCGAGACCAAAACCAAGAAACATCAGTTTATATCCAAGCTCACAAAATAGATATGACATAGAATAGAAAGCAATTGAAATCATCACACTCAACAGAATAAAATATATCACATAGATAACATCGATCTTACATCATTTATATATCCTGACAACCTGATTTAAAGAAGCTTTAGTTGCTATACATGAAATGGGACAAAATAACCGAATTCCAGAAACCATGTAACCTGCCTAAAGGCCTCACTGAAAGAAGTACTTTAGGACATATACATCTGTACAAAACAATGTATACAATATAAAACCAAATCATCATGTCCTCAGCAATCTTTCACATGATGAACCTTTGCTTAACCTTCACAAACTTGAATCTTGCAGCACCTCCCTAGGTACGTAAGCTTGAGCATGCCAGCATAGTTCAACACCTGTTATGCTTTACACAAATCACAAACCATGAAATTTTTATCAACATGTATAAATGACTGTGAAATATATATCACACATGCCCCACCATTTAATAAATACATACCTGCTAAACCATATATAAACACCATTGCAGGCTTAAATCTGTTTCGTTAACATTGCAAGGTTAATCTCAAAAAACCCATTTCATGAAAGCATCTGTCTTCTATTAGAGGTCTTCAAAATATGCATAATGTGGCTGACTTATAAAACATGTGACAGCAGCCTAGATCTCTCATGAAACAGACATAGATAGTAAATGACATTCAAAAGTAGTGAACACAACCCATATAACCAGGGGTTCTCAAAAAAGTGAAGTACTCACACTCTCACCCTTTACTCAATAAGGATGCCACCACAAACTGTTTTTCTTCTTCACCACCTTCCAAAAAAATTTCCAATATAGTGGGATCCTTATGCATAATCATGGCAAGGTTAACCCTCTGTTCAACTGTCAATATTTCAAATTGCTTCAATTCTTGGACAACAGAAGTTTTTTTGCTTGAACCCTCACCTTGGTGTTCAAAGCATGTAATCAACCTGTCAATTTTGTCATTTGTGGTTTTATAATCATTACCAAGATCTTTAATTGCAACAGATACCTCACTAGCCAAAGCTTCCTCATTCCTTCCTCTCTTCTTACCCTTTTTTGCAACAGAAATTGACACAGGAGAAGTTTGTGTGGCTTCTTCAGTTGCAGTGTCAGGGAGTGGAGGTTCCCAATTCGGTGAGATTGTGTTGTCTTCAAATAGATCATAAATTTCTTCCACGGCAGTCCCACTTTCAGCCATACCAATTGCCTCATTGTCCATATTGTGGACTGCATCCTCTGGACCCTCGGCATGCTCTCCATTTGCCATGTCCTTTCCAAAAATCGGTCCCAATGCGTCATAGTATGGAAATGGTTTTTTGTAGAGACCCTTGGCATTAGGGTGAGTCTGCAAGGATAATACAATTCAGTGTGTCATTAGAACAGTAAATTATAACAAAGAAAATGCAATACAATATGATAATTTTTCTGTTCACAATAATGAGTTTTACCTTAATCCAGTCCATGTAAATTTGCTTCTCCACGTCAATCATTTTGTCCCTATCATTCCACCCGAAACCACTTCCCCCATTCGGCCCCATCATCTCAGCAATGGCATTGTAGTGCTTCTTTAGGAGCTTGATTCTAGACGTAATGTGTGGAGTGCCCTTAAGTGTACATCCAGGAATTTTAGCATGCATCAGCTTCTCTAAGTGATTGGGAAATCCGGGCCTGAAACCATTCTCACCCTTCCATGCTAAACCGGACTCAACAAGACAATCAACAAGCACCCTGTCCTCTTCTGATGTCCACGTGTGATTAATCCGCTTGCTCGATTGGGAATCCTTTTCAGCCATCTGCATAAGGTGTTAAGAAAAAAATATGTTGTTTGTACACTATAATCAATAGACAATCAGTTACAAACAGATTGCATAAATCAACAGTACCAAACTGACATATATAGTATCTATTTCATAGCCTCACATAGAAAAAGAAAGAGTTCAGTACAATCACACAAATGTTATGAAATGAAACTAAGTCGATGTAACCAAAACACAACAACATTATAAATCACACAAAGTCCTAAACCAAATCAAACACCATTCCTCCATGTATCAAACATCTGTTGGGCCAAATCATCCCTCCACCTTGTCCAAGCATTTGATGACTCAACATGAGTTATCAAGTTCTGTCCTTCGAAGTTGTCTGCAGCTTCAGCCATGTCCACAGTATTATCCTCTAAAGGGTCAATAGGCATCTCATTCCTAATATGATTATGAAGCAGGCAGCAAGCAGTGATTATGCGGCACTGCGTTTTCACCGGATAAAAAGACTTTGACCTGACAATGGCCCAACGACCCTTCAACAACCCAAAGCATCTTTCAATCACATTCCTAGCCTGGGAGTGTTTCATGTTAAAAAATTCTTGCGGTGTCGTTGGTTGTGCCCCATGTCTCCACTCACTCAGATGGTATCTTTGCCCTCTATAAGGTGTTAGGAATCCTTCCCCATTCATATAACCGGCATCGGCCAAATAATAGAAACCTACGACAACAGCAGTTATTTGTGAGGAACACTGTGGGACTGTAGTATAAATGATATGCCTCTCTGCGAAGAATGTGTGTGATGTTCTGTAGTTACCTTTTGGGACCCTTAACCCATTTCCACGAGAGATAGCGTCTCTGAGGACCTTTGAATCCGCAGCTGATCCTTCCCATCCAGGCAACACATAAATAAATTGGCAATCCTGCGAGCAGACACCCAAAACGTTTGTCGCAATTTCACCCTTCCTACTGCAGTATCTTGCCTTATCAGCTTGTAAGGGATTAACCTTGATGTGCGTCCCGTCCAAATCTCCAAGGCAATTCTATCAACCCAACAAAACAAACAAATAAAACAAGTCAATATAAAAGAGAGAATGACCTTTGTGAATTATGCGGAAAACATAGTGTAAATTTTTACAAGTACCTTGAACCACTTCCATCTATCATCAGTTGAGTTTTGTAGGATGGGATCAGGCCGTTTAAGCAGTACGGTGTGACACCTTAAAACAGACAGCAACACCTTGTTGAATTGTCTACTTATTGTCTCACCTGACCTCATAAACTGTCTTTTAGTAACTCGATTCTTCACATCATGAGCCAAAATATGAAGGAAGATTGCAACCTGCTCTTCTACCCCCATGTGGCTCGTCGTTTGAAGCATCCCAATAGTTTTCATCATATCACACAAACTATGAAAGCTTCTCCTATCCATCCTTGTATTCTCAATACAAGCGGTGTCAGTAATATACACTATTCTATGCAGATTCATTTCCCTCGTAGGCACCCTACTGCAAAAATCCCACTTCAATCTCCTCATTTTCCTTTTCCTTCTTTCAATATGAGCTAATATTACACCATAAATTCTCACTAATAACATAGTTCGGTGATTCAAATTTTGCAAATGACAAATGATAATAATAACGATACTCAACGCCATTGCTGTGTTCATCTCCTCAATCTAACACAACACAGCCAAGAGTAATTAACATTAATCCAACGATGATGAACGGGATTCAAAGTATCACAACACAATCAGTCATATTGCTCAAATATAGGACAAGGATTGTAATCTGATACAGTGCAAACAATGAGGTAGTTATATGTTAACACATGTTCAACTCATGTACTACTTTGTAAATGCATGCTGCCACAATTTTTATAAATTCAGTTATCCTATCCCTTCTCAATTTCTATATTCACATTTAGTCAAAAATTATTTTGCAATTACATGTTATGTTAAATCCATAACATAACAGTATACAACACAACTCACATGCTACTGCTTAATGCTAAAAAATTATTTGCAATTACATGTAATGAGCAATCCATATGGATGACTGCATACAACATACCTCAAATGCTCCACCAAGACAGCTTCATTTAAAACAACACACATTACTGGACTCATTGCAACCATGGGCAGGTTAGAGGAATGCAACAAATGCTTTCACACCTAAGGCAAACCTAAATCATAGTCAAACTGACATATATATTTTTCCCTGTAACATGCATGCAGGATCGGACCACATCAAATATCTACACATTTTTTGGGTAAATTAATATTAATTACAAACAAGCACAATATAGCATCACTGATCCCATATGACTCGAAGTTGTGCTGGGTCTAACATGACCACAACACATAAGCTACACATGAACACGAGTATACAAAAAAGAAAAGATCCAAAAAAAAATAGTTTTCCCTCACAACCCAATTATCTACAAATCAAGTCCAAAACAGATTATGACTGACCTCAGCAAAAAAGGAAGTGACTTTGGTTACTTGATGCTTCCTTATCTCACTTGAGAGTCGATTGTGGTTGAACAAAAAAACGATTTCCTTCAACACGTTCCACCACCCGTACTGCAGATATGAAAGAACAAATTAGATAGAAGACTAAATAAAAGAAGAAGCTACCCATCCAATGCTCAGCTGCCTCGCACAAATCAGCCCAGAAACCTCATAACATTTTCTTAAACAAATCAGAAAACGGAAAACCACCTTCGACAATATGGAAATTGCACATGCAAATGTCATAGAAGGCAAGAGTCATACCAATTTCGTCACTCACATGCAAGGAATCAGCTTCTTCCTCTTCACTTGCGCTTTCTGGAAATGGAGGGAGAAATGGCAGATATAAGACTCTTTCGCGCCAATTTTGCACACGGCTTTCAGTCCACCACCAACCAGTCAAATCAGATTCACCATCAGTGCACAGATCGTACAAAAGTGAAGGTTATTTTCGTATTTGCATTTGCGGTTCACATTTCACTTCCCCGGGCAAACACGAAAGTCGTTCTTGAGTTGGACAACATGTTTCCATTCTTTCAATACAAATCACACATGAAATGCAAATAACGGGACAACTTGTTGCCAGAGATATTTACCATTTTTGTGTTGCCAAACATGGCTATTCCAAAATCCAGATAGCGCTTTCCCTGGGATGCAAAAATTATCCGAGTACCAAACGCCCCCTAAAGACAATCTTTAAATATGATATATTAGTCGGTTTGTTCATTAGGTCAATATCAAGTAACAGTTGATTTGACATTTTTAAATTTGATTCTTACGAAGGAGCTTTGATAACATTTACTCAAAGTATAAATCTATAAAAGAAAGAAAAAGTAAACTTTAATAAGTTTTTAACATAATTAATTAACATTTTTGGTTAGAATAACGAGGAGAGAGAATTCAACTTTTTTACATAAATAATAAATTCTTTGAACCAATTATTTGATACATGAAAGAGATAATTAACACTTTTATTAATTATATCTGATTACCTATATAATTACATAAATATTTTGATCTTGGATGTTAAACACTATTAAATAGTTTTTTTTAACAAAAATGATGCTTTTATTAATCTAATTGGTTATTCCTAAATGAAAAAACTTTGGTTCCTATAGCATGAATAAATTGTTACTATTAAGAATAACAAAATTGGGAGAAAAACTTTAAAAATATGATTTGAAAGTCTAAAAAGTTAAAAAAAATCATATATTGAGACACCTCGAGCAAATCTGTAGGTTTTAAATTCCAAACTTGGGGAAGGGGGGTGAGTGGAAAGTCATCCTACGCTCATTTTTTTTATATGTTATCTTACATAGATAGACATATATTATATTTATTAATAATATAATAGAATTAAGAAACGTATGAAAAAGTTAAAATGTAAGTATAACTAAATAAAAAAATTATATACATATAAGATGGTGTATGCATTAATGTATAATTAACATTATTATTCTATTACGTAACCATGTGTCCGTGTCGATATCCAGCCCTCTTTTGAGTGACACTTTTGCGTGTGTTGGAAAATCAGATCCAACGTTATGATTATTTTAGTTAAAATTAATATTTTTTATTAAAATTTAAATTAATAAAATACATATTTTCACTTTTTATAATTTTTATTATATATTTTTTTCTCACTTAAAACGACACAATTTTACCTCTTTTAAAGGACAAATACCAAATCCTAATTATTTATTGAATATTCATATTAACTAATTTGATTTAGAACTTTTTCTTTTATTGTAAATTTTCAGCACCAGAGCTGGGGTGGTTATTTGCATGATAGTGAACATAATTTATAAATTCATTACAAAATTTATTACATTTCATTTAATCACTTAGTTTTTTTGGTTATTATCAACATCAACACTTTTATTCCGAACTAATTGCATTATAAATAATAAAATTAAATATTTAATATAACAAAGCTGTAAAATCTTTTGTAACAGGTGCAGTAAATGTTAACTTCGAAACAAAGTGTATTGACATCTACTAGTGGTGCAAGGGAACGCATTAAAATAAATGATTGTTTTTACAATTTTACTTAATTTGGATCTTGGTGTCGATAACTTATTTTTAAATATCAGTTTACCAAAAAAATATCAGTTTTTATATTTTTACTAATTTTTTTTGGTAAAAATATTTTTACTAATTTTAATTTTGATAAGAATGTTTAAAGATGAATTAAATTGTTTTAACATGAAAACTCGTCCGATTCAATTCAATCTATTCATTGATACAGACTTACAGAGAATCAATTTGTATATTTTTGATTTCGAAACCAATAAATTGGATTGATTTAATACTTTAATTAGTTTTTGGTAAAAAAAAAAATTCATTCCTAAATCTTGGAAAGCTAGAAGAAGTTTACCCAATTATAAAACAACATTTACTTAAGGGCGTCACATAAAGTGTGAAAAGTATATAATTAGAGTTATGGTATAAATTTGAAAATACAAAATTATTATATACTATTCATATTAATGATCAGAAAATTAAATTATCTTAATTTTAAAATAAAAATAAAAAAGGAATGAAATTCAATTAAGAAATTTTAAAACAAAAACTAAAAGGAATCAAATTTATTCGGTTTGAATTACATTTAAACATCTCTATATTTTATGGTCTATATTTTAAGTAATTATTATCATTTAATGTGATACAAACATATAATTAAATGGTTTTACCAATTTATCAAAAAAGTATGGTTTTACTTTTACCAAAATAAAAATGATTAAATGGAAACATTTTAAGTATATCAAGGAAAAAAAATAAAATATATAAAATTCCCGGTGAAAAAGTAATAATTATATAGAATCGACAGTGACGATGAATAAAAGGAACAAAAGCAGTGGGATGGGAGAGCGCGAATGAAAGCTGGACTCGTAGAAGAAACAAACAAGAGAGTGGTTCGTATCAATCACGCCACAAGCATAACTCAATTTTCCAATACACAATACAATGGTGGTAATAAACAATCCCTTTTTCTTCACTTTCGAGTTTCAACGTTCATCATCGATTTCAGAATTCAGTTTTTGAATTCCGTTCCGTTTCGCCATGGCGTTGAGAATCGGCGGCAGAAAACTCTCCTTCGAGGTTCTCCGGCGAAGCGAAGACGACTCTCTCGACAACCGTTCCAATTCGGATCCAACCCAATCCAATCGCAAGAAGCGCAAGCACCGAGCCTCCAGGAGGAAAAAGAAACATCTCGATCTCGAAGATTCCATCGCCGATTCCGGAGATCCGAATTCGAAGAGAGATGCACCACTCGAAAACGGACGAGCCTGTAACGGTTTCGAGCTCGACGCTCGCATGTGCTGCGCTGCTGTCGGAGGAAGCGTTGTGTGCGAGGAGGTGCGTGAAGCGAGCGTCTGTACGGTTGCGGAGGCGCGTGACGCCGAGACTGAGCTTTCGACGAGCGCGCTCGGTGCTGGCGAGGGGTTTAATTTTGGGGAATTGAGGCAGAGAAATGTGAATGGTTGCAGTTCTGAGGATTTAGCGGCTTCGGTGGTGGGCGATGACGTTGGGACTGGGAAGGACGATGGTGGTGTGGAGAAGCCGACGAACGAGCCTGATAGGAATGTTGTCACGAAATTGGAGAAATTGGAGACGGTGGAATCGTTGGACTGGAAGCGTCTAATGGCAGAAGATCCGAATTGTGAGTAGTACATTGGTCCTTGCTCTGCATGCATCATTGCATTTCATCTCATACTTTTTTGTAGTGATTTCTCGGAAACTATCTCTTCTGAATCTGTTAGAAAAATTGACCTTGTATTTCAATTAATGATCAAAATGCTATTTACAATCTGTAGGAAATAAAACTGATGAAAATTTGTTTGCAAGAATCAGCTTTCAGTAAACACCAATTGCTCCGAAACTTTTGCATGTATTCGAGTAATTTGTTAAATGCCATTAGCAAATTCTATGCTACTTTAATTATGGTAGACCTCAAACATAATCGAAGTTCTATTGCTAAGTCTGACATCTCTTTCAGTATCATGCCTGCATCCAAATAGGTGCTATCTAGCTATGCAGGTTTTCCTTGTCTTGAATGTTCTGGTTCAATTTTTATTTATTTATTTATTTGTAATTTATTTTACAACAGAATCATAGATCGGCTTCTGAAGGGTAATATCTTGAAAAATGTGATTGATGGGATGGCTACTAGACATTGACTGAACAAAGCATGGCAGTGAAAAATAATGCACAGTTTTGACAGGGATAAAAGCTTTTGCCTGTTTTCTTATTATGCTTCAGCTGCTCATATATGAATTAAAACTAGTCAAATGGTCTGTGATCCTTTTTATACGAAGCATTTTTTCCTGACTTTCTTACCCTGTCATTGGTGTTTTATTTTACTTATACCATGTATTATTCTTTTCTGCTTAATTAACCGTGTGGTGATATATTTTGATGTCAGATATATTTTCAGTGGATAAGTCTCCTGTAGCATACTTTTTGGAGGAAATGTACAATGGAAATTCTTTACGGAGCACAACTACTCTTGGAAACGAAAAAGAACGAGAGAGAGTTTATGACACTATCTTCCGCTTGCCATGGAGATGCGAATTGGTATATTTTTATTTTTTTTAAACAGAAATAAAAAAGAACTCTGGTGACAGTTTTTTGATGTCATCTATGGATCTTTACTGATATTTCAAAAAATCTGATGTGTTGTGTCCGACACTCTAATATACATTGTAGAGACTCAACAAAAAGGGTTCAAAAGTTGCGTTGCATTGCGTTTTTAGTTTCAACTATTAGATTCGTTGGATTACGATTATCATTTTATTGAGTTTAATTAAATATTTGTGATATTTTATGTTTCTTTGCAAAATTGATGGGTATTATAAGTTTAGTTTTTTTTGGTTAAATTATTGAATATTAAATATAATATACACTACATAAATTAAAAATATTATTTAATATCAAAACGTGTCTTAATGTGTCAGAAATATAATATTTTTTAAAATTAACGTTCGGAGTGTCGCGTTGTGTCCCGTGTCGGTGTGGGTCCAATATAAATTTTACTTCACAATAATCAGAATAAATTGAGAGGTTTTGGCGAAAAGAAGTAAACTTGAATCTTCCTCTTAATGCATAATAGCTAAACTGCTGTTGCATATTTATGTCAAAGCATTCTACATTTTGTGTTGCGGTATCTTAAATATGAAATGCATTTGCAGCTTATAGATGTTGGCTTCTTTGTCTGCTTCGATTCATTTCTTTCATTATTAACTATCATGCCAACAAGGATCATGATGACCGTTTGGAGGCTTCTCAAGACAAGGTTTGCTACCTTTCCTAAATTTTCTTCCATTGTAAAAAAATTTAGTTGTGCATACACGTGAGGTTTTTTGGGTGATAGATTAAGCCTACAGCATCTGTTTCTTTAATTTAGATTTTTAATTTAAGCAGTCTCCATCAGTACAATCTTACTAGTGCTTCAGATATCACTGTAAATCATTAAATGATGGAACACAGTGATTTTTCTTGAACCATGTGTTCCCAAATTAGACAGTTGGTTCAATTACACATTCTATATGATACAGGTCTCAGTTATTAATTTATATCTTGACTGTATTAGTACCTGATTCTGTGTTAGCTGAATAAATTAGACCAATGTCTTCTTAATACAAAATCTTCATGTTCTTTTGCTTTGATTTCTATTCTCTTCTTCAGACCAACTCGTGCTCTGTTTTGAAATTTGTGGTAGTTTATCATGATTTTTAGTGTTACAATATGACCTAATCATGTTTGTGGCAGGCAGTTCAAGAGGCTGTCAACAATTGAATTGTCAGATTTTGGCTGTTTTGTTATTATGAGTTGTGGAGTCATTCTTTTGCAGCGAACAGGTATGGTGGTTCTCTGCTCCCATGATGGTATGTTATACCATTCCTTTTTGTATTGATCTGGTTCAATGTTATACTAATTTTGTTTTATTCCCCTTTTCAAACATGCTGGCTCAGACATCAGCTTAATATATCATATGATCCGTGGTCAAGGAACAATAAAATTATATGTGGTCTACAATGTTTTAGAGGTGAGCAAGTATTAATTTATTAACCTGGATTATGGTGAATAGTTAGACCTCCACATTGCAAATTTAAATCAAAGTCAATATTTATATTATGTAGAGTTCATGTGAGCAAGATATTGGAGTGACAAATGGAATTTTTCAGAACATGGATAAATGAATTTTGCCTTGTAATTTGAAAATCGTGAAACTCTGAAATCTGATGAGATAAAATGTTGCAGTGTTTGGAAATTAGTATCAATATGCTATCTCTATCTTATTTTTATTTGTCATAACACCTGTTTTAATGCAGTATCTCCATATATTTGGAACATCTAAATAGTAAACCCGAATTAGTGACAATTGCAGGAAGCTAAATTTTAGATATGGCAAAAGGGCATGCAAAAAAATTAACAGCGGAGTTGTATTGGCTTAAGTGATATTTGGGACAACCGAAATTGAAAATGTGACAAAAGAAGGATGGATGGGGTAACATAATTGATTTTGTAATAGTTTTTTGAAACATGCATATGATTTTTCACTTTCCGGTGACCTTTTGGTATTTGAATAGATCAGTTCACAAGTACTGAAATTGTAATCCAAGCAGCTAGAGCTTTTACTTTGATCGCCTATTGATTGCACAAGTGTTGTAAATCATAATGATCTATACTGAAACTTATTTTGGAACTTTGTAACTGGTCTTTGAACTTCTTGCAGATATTTGATAAATTATGTCAAAGTTTTAATGGGGATGTGTTGCAAACATTATTTCATACTGCTGAAGGACTTGCAAATTGCCCCCCAGAAAGTATGAGATTCTGGATATGGAGATTTTTTTCTGACCAAGCTTTAGCTGTGGCTGCTTCAAATATCCTTCCTCTTTGGGATGCATTTTTTCCCTAGTTGTTTGGTTAACTATTTTCTTGTGTGAAGGAAAAAGAAAAAACAACAGGGTCGGTGGTTTGGTTCCTTAACTAGTCTTACTTGCTCATTCTTTTATCTTATTAGCTCAGGCAATCACTTTATCAACCTGTATAGTTGCTCACAACAATGCGTTGTTAGCTTTGCTGGTGTCAAATAATTTTGCTGAGATCAAAAGTAATGTGTTTAAGCGTTACAGCAAGGATAATGTTCACAGTTTGGTTTACTTTGGTAAGTTATCTTTCCTACAACAATTTCTTTCTTTCTTTCTTTGATTTCAGCTTATTTGGTATATTATTCTTTACTTCTTCATTCACACATGAAAAATGTAATTTGTTATGGCCTCATTGTCAGAATACTATTTGAGCTAGTCTTATCAATAGTTGATTTATTTAGGATTAATAGCCTTTATTAATAATGTCATCCAAGCAAAATTGTTATGATGTTTGAAATTTATAGTTTGAGCGATTTTTATTTTGAATGCTTTTATTTGAATCTAGAATATAGGGTCGGCCTAGGTTTTTTGTATTCTTTGGCACCTTACCCCACCTTACCTGTGTGCCGTATAAATAGGATTGGGAGAAAGCTTTTGCTTTAAATTGGTTGACTCAATTAATATGCATTGTTATAATTCTATGAGCATGTTTAATAATGGATCTACTTTTGCAGAATCAGAATGCGAATGCAATGTCTTTGAATACAATTGAGCAAGAGTTTAATAGGATATTTATTCTGCATTTGACGTTTGTATTACCTGAGGCTTTTCTTTCTTATTCATTTGGTCTAACATTTTTTTTTCATTTTTTTAATTTTCCCCCTTTACTTATGGTGACAAGCAGATTCTGTAGAGAGATTCCACATTTCAGCATTTATCCTATTCGTTTTGGCTCAAAATATTCTGGAGGCAGAGGGTCCCTGGTTTAAAAGTTTTCTCATTGTAAGATTTGGAAATATTTTAGATCCTAATATTTATTGAAAAAGTTTAGTTTTTCACGGGGGGCTCAATTTCCTTTCTTAGCTTAGTCTTGCTTCTGACACATTTTTTGGATGGTGCAGAATATCCTCTTGGTTTATGTATGTGAAATGGTTATTGATATTATCAAGCATTCATTCATTGCTAAATTCAATGACATTAAGCCCATTGCATACTCTGAGTTCCTTGAAGACCTCTGTAAACAGGTATTTTCATCTGATTTCATGTGGATATTATTTATTCATCTGATTGAGCTTTTCGCAAGAATACACACCTGATCTTTGACGGTTTACATTCTGTAGACTCTAAACATGCAAACTGAGGGTTCAAAGAAAAACTTGACTTTTGTCCCCCTTGCTCCAGCGTGTGTGGTAAGCATACATCATTTTAAATATCAATTTGGCTTTTCTGGTTTTTTGGTTGCCGATTCAACATTAGTGCACTTTTTCCTTTTATTACTCATTCGTAGGTTATTCGAGTGCTCACTCCAGTATATTCTGCAAACCTTCCTCCCAATCCCCTTCCATGGAGGCTTTTCTGGATTCTGCTTTTCTCAGCAACGATTTATGTCATGCTCACAAGCCTCAAGGTTCTCATTGGTATGGGCCTACAGAAACATGCCAGTTGGTATATCAAACGCTGCCGAAGGAGGAAGCACCATCTTCATGCAGATTAGTTTAGAAAGCAAAATATTGCTGTCTCGAGTTGTTGTGCTCTGCTGCCCAAGGATTCCTCCGCTTGTTCCCGAAGAACATTTGTTGAAAGACCTCACGGAGATAATGCCTTGACTCTCGAATTATCATCGGTGCCTGGCGTATATGAGAACAATTTTATGTTCGATCTGTTGGTTTATAACTTGAAGGCGAGGCTATAAATGGGTTTCTCCTTGCAATTTTGATAGCAAGATATAATTTGATGATTACAGAATAAGAATAGGAAGATATAGGCTGCATAGTTGCCCTCTAATCAAATTTGGCCAATTCAATTAAAAATAACATCACATTTTTCATTTTTTTTTTTAATTTAATATCGACATTTCTCTGTAATGTTCTTCACATCCCCTGAACTCCTCATTATTCCTAAAGTCGTGTTTGCTCTAAGTCATTATTACCATGCAAGTCGAGCTGTTTCCATTGGTGCTCAACGGTTTCCAACGGAGAATTGCATAAAAACGAATAATGGAATTGGAAAGTGGTTCGAATCAGTCCCTTTTTCTGTAGCACTGGTGCAGATGTGCCAATTAGAGCAAGATGGCAGTGGGGACGAAGCGATTTGGTTTAGAGAGAATTCGAAGGAGAGAGATGACTTAGGAGACTTAATGAAAAGGGCTGGTTCTAAGGTACGCGTAATCTAGCAGGCGTGTAGACGGTGTAACATCTACTCTACCCATTAATAAATGGTTGAGATTTATAACCTGCAACTTGCAGAACAGGTTACTTGTTAAGATTTCAAATAAGCAAATTTGCGGAGCAAATGGGGTGAGAGCATACTTTTTGAAAGAGTTTAAAGTCTTAATCCTGGACCCACTTCGAATCGAATTAGTCGTGAAGCGATGAACTTATGGAATATTTCCAAAAAAAGAAGCAAATTTGTCCATGAAAGGAGATTATATTTTGTATCAGTATTCACAAAAAAGGGGTCCTAATTGCTGCATCCACTGCCCGACCTGTAGAAGGAATCTTCAGCTATGGTGGATAGATTTTGGACAATTGGGAATTGGATCTCCTTCCTCACTAATTCTCCTATTCTTTTTTTTGAATGGTTGTGGTCCATTGCTGACATTTACTATCTGTTTATCAATCGGGTTTCATTTCATTCTTTCACTTTGAATAATGCACTTTTGATTTTTGAGTGGAGGATACAGAATGGTATCTGTGTCGAAGTCCTTTGCACCTGATCTTTTGATCATTGAAGATTTCAATGGGCTTTTTAGGACCAAGGTCTGTTGTCCTCTTCTGGTAATCTTCAGTTGTTTACAATTTTAATAGGTTTAGCAACAAAATTCCGAAGCTTTTCACATATTGAATTCCCTTCACGCCTTATTTCCTCACCGAGGGATTCTGAGAAGCTTTCAATATAACATCCCCGTCTCGAGCCGGTTCAATTAACATGCATATGATATAAACAGAAACAACGGAAGACTTAACTTACGAAAATATGAGCTAACTTTTTCTTTTTCTAACTTAATTCTTACTCGGCATAAACGAAAATCGGGCAGAGTTTCTTCTATAAATCGGACAACTGGGGATTTTCCAATCCCACTCAGAAGCATTTCCTGATAAACAGTTTATACAACATATCAATTCAGAAATACCAAGTATCCAAATATAATCAAATACCCATACATGGGCGCATGCATAACATGGCTTCGTGCCACTATATCTAACAACATGCCATCAAAACGTAAACCTATATGAATACTACATCATCATATAACGTGCCTGAATACTCAAATGTACATGCATCAAACTGACAGACATGCACAAAACATATACATGCCACATACAAAATATAGGATCTAACATCATGATCCACAAAATACGGAAATACTAAATGAAGGTACTATACTCCAAAATAAAAGTAGTCTACAGCTACTCAAAATCCAATCCGTCCAAATCCTCAGCCACGTGTCGCGTCCCTGACTAGAGAAGTCTCACCGGGGATCTGGGCACCTGAAAATATGGCCCCAACGAGGGGTGAGATTACAAATCTCAATAAGCTCCAGGTTTATAAAGAATTCTCTATACCCCTGGCTCACTCCTGCATGAAAGTCAGATACAGAGTATACGAATACAACATATAACAGATATCATAACAGAACAGAGCATATATCCATATCATATTAGAGGTGTGCGCTGTCATTCCAAAGGGAGGACCCCAAGCGGAAATCAACGCACGTGTTCTCGAGGGAGGACCCCAAAGCGGAACCAGACATATCAGAGGCGTACACCATTAGTCCCGAGGGAGGACCCCAAAGCGGACATCAGGGAACTATACAATCAATGGCCAGGGATTATTACAGAAATCATCTTACAGAAGTCATATCAGAACAAAACATATCATGTTACCAAATAGCTCTATATGAATGCATCTATACACGGCATCAAAACAGTCATACAATCCAACCACAGTTTACTAACTATGGTGGAGCACTCAAGTAGGAAAAGACTCCTTAAACATAGAGCTTACCTCTTGAAGCTTTACCAATACCCTTACTTGTTGCACAAATTATTTATATTGCTTCAATAGAATTCCACTCCTTTTCAATCCCTAGGCACACCTAGAGAAGAATTTACAATAAAATCAATAAAATGATACTATGCCATGATCCTTTCACAAAGCATACATTTTATCGCTTATTTTCATTTCTTTGCATTTTTGCCAATCCTATGCCAATACACAAGTCTAGACCTCATTATAACCGTTGGTGTTCTTTAATTTAATCCTAAGGAACAATACTCATAATTCACAGTGTGGTTTCTGCACCGTTTTTGACGAAATGCACAGTGAACCACTAACTGTACTTTATTTATTTATAAACTTAAGACTTATACACTTGTCATTTTCTTGGGCCTATATTGACTTGCTTGACATATATTGGACTTTCTTATTCTTATTTCATCAATTATTTATTTCTGGACTCTACCGGTTGCTTAAACAGCAGTACTAAATACCCGGTAAAAACACTATTCACGAGATTTTCACGGAAAGTGCCAGACTATACAATTTTTCATTCTGAACTCATATATGGAGTCAGAATTGTCAAATTATGTCTCAAAATCATTTTGCTTATTTAAGCTCTACCGGTTAATTCACAAGACTGCGAATTCTCCGACAGAACGCACTGTTCATAACATAGTCATGATTACAGTCAAAATACTCGGAATCACTCACTGAATCTAATTATGGCATTTAAATCCTTAAATTAAACCTCTAATTAAGATTTACCATTTTGGGTCATTATATTCACCCCATCTTTTAAGGATTTTGCCCACAAAATCAAATATCAAATATAACATATACCTGACGTCAAACTCAGGGTACTGCTGGAGAATTTCGTTCTCTCGCTCCCAAGTAGCGTCCTCAGGAGTCAATCCTTCCCATTGCACTTTGATCATGGGAATAGTCATGTTTCTCAATACTTTTTCATCACGTGCTAGGACCTTCAACGGTCCCACAACAAACTTCAAGTCTTTTCTTACTTCAATATTGTCCGGCTGTACTATGTGGGATGCATCCGGCACGTATTTTCGAAGTTGACTGATGTGAAAAACACTATGTAGATTTAACAGATGTGGAGGTAAGGCAAGCTGGTATCCCACATGTCCGACCCTCTTTATAATCTGGTAGGGCCCAATGAACCTAAGACTCAACTTCCTCACTCCTAGAGCACGCCCAACACCCGTAGTCGGAGACAAACGGATAAATACATGATCCCCTTCAAAAAATTCAAGGGGTCGGTGTTTTGCATCATAATAATTCTTTTGGCGGCTCTGTGCTTTCTTTAATCGATCCTTAATCATCATAATTTGATCAGTAGTCTCTTGGACCATATCAGGCCCAAATAACTACCTCTCACCAATTTCTGACCAACACGTAGGCGCCCTGCACCTACGACCATACAAAGCTTCATAGGGAGCCATGCCCAAACTGGCATGATAACTATTATTATAGAAAAATTCCACTAGAGGAAGATACTTATCCCATGCATTTCCCTGCTCTAAGGCACAAGCCCTCAACATGTCCTCCAGAGTCTGAATAGTCCTGTCAGTCTGACCATCAGTCTGGGGATGATAAGCCGTACTCAGCCTCAGCTGCGTACCGAATGCCTGTTGCACTGCATCCCAAAGTCGAGAAGTAAATTTAGGGTCCCGCACTAATTATACTTTCAGGAACACCATGCAGTTTCACTATCTCCCTTACATATAACCGAGCCAGCTGCTCTGCAGAGAAACTCGTTTTGACTGGTATGAAATGTGCAGACTTTGTCAATCTGTCAACAACTACCCAGATAGAATCAAAACCAGCCTGAGTTCTCGGTAATGCCACTACAAAATCCATAGAAATACTGACCCATTTCCATTCCGGAATATCTAAGGGCTGCAATAATCCAGAAGGTCTCTGATGCTCAATCTTAACTTTCTGACATGTCAAGCACTTACTCACAAACAGAGCAATAACTTTCTTCATTCCCGACCACCAGAAGTTTCGTTTTAAGTCTTGGTACATCTTGGTAGCACCGGGATGGATATTGTACTTACCCATATGGCCCTCAGCCAATACCTCATCTTCCATTTGACCCTTCGGAACAATGATCCGATCTTTGTAAAATTTAAGACCGAACCTATCAGTGGACACAAAGTCCTGTTCTTTCATAGACTGAATCTCTTCATCAAGCAATTGAGCTTCTTTAATCCGCTCAACTAATGAGTTCAGGACTACCGTAGTAGTCAATAAATGCGGGCTATCCTCTGTATTCACAGGAATACGGAGATCCCTGAACTTCTCAATCAGATTATACTCAGAAATCATTAAATTGGCCATACCAAGCGCCTTTCTGCTTAAAGCATCTGCTACTATATTGGCCTTACCGGGGTGATATTGCAATTCAAAATCATAATCCTTTAGGAATTCCACCCATCGGCGTTGCCTCATATTCAACTCTTTCTGATCAAACAGATATTTCAAACTTTTGTGGTCACTGTAGACAATGAAATCGGCCCCGTATAGAAAGTGTCGCCAGATTTTCAATGCGAACACTACGGCTGCCAACTCAAGATCGTGTGTCGGATAGTTCTCCTTATGCGGTTTTAACTGTCGAGAATCATAAGCAACCACCTGACGAAATTGCATTAAAATACATCCTAACCCATACTTAGAAGCATCACAATACACCACAAATTTACTGGTAGGATCCGGCAATATCAATACCGGAGCTATAGTCAACTTCCTTTTTAACTCTTGAAAGCTCACTTCACATTCTTGGTCCACACAAATGGGTTCCCTTTACGGGTTAACCGTGTCAAAGGTAATACCATCCGTGAGA